ATTGTCCTCTGTCCTCTCCTGACGTCTCTTACTATGGAGGAATGGGATTGTCCTCTGTCCCCTCCTGACGTCTCTCTTACTATGGAGGAATGGGATTGTCCTCTGTCCTCTCCTGACGTCTCTTACTATGGAGGAATGGAATTGTCCTCTGTCCTCTCCTGACGTCTCTCTTACTATGGAGGAATGGGATTGTCCTCTGTCCTCTCCTGACGTCTCTTACTATGGAGGAATGGAATTGTCCTCTGTCCTCTCCTGACGTCTCTCTCACTATGAAGGAATGGGATTGTCCTCTGTCCTCTCCTGACGTCTCTTACTATGGAGGAATGGAATTGTCCTCTGTCCCCTCCTGATGTCTCTCTTACTATGGAGGAATGTAGGTGTTTGACATCACTAGAGACTCTCTCAGGAGCAGATTATGAAATGAGCTCTTCCAGCATCACCAATGTACAAATGGTCTCCACAGGGCCCCTCCGATGGTGAGAATATTCGGGGAGACTCCACCCTTCATTCAATGTAACCCTCTAGCTTCCTCTACGACACCTGAATCCACAATACTTGAGGGAACTTACATGCAGCATTGGTACAGAGGAGCCAGGATGGTCATCTCATCATGTGAATGTCGTCCAAACCTGCAATACAGCAAGAATCACATGGTCAGCAGGGCCGCCGCCCACCATGCTGCTTATATGTTACCGTGGAAACATGACCCACCCTCTGGCGTTATCCAGGTGCAGCAGGAACCCATCATCTCCAAACTTGGTGAATATCTCGTAGTGATGGCGATCCATATTTCCTGGAAGGAGAAATGGAAGTCACGATGGAGAACGCTTCCATAGAGAAGGGTCATTGTGCCAGAATGAGGATGGACGGCAGCTCTATGGGGTCCCTCTGGAGATCCATCTAACATGCCCTTGGCTTGGATGTGGTCCAGCTGATCAGTGTATGAGGTGGAAGATTATCAGACACCCAGAAAACATTGGCTTGCTGAGGGCATATTTGACTATGGTCACCTGACCACACTGATATACTGAGGGCCCACTACAGGCGTCCAATCATGTGCCAGGATTCTGGGTGCAGAAGTGTTGGATGTTCGAAATGAATCTAGGTTACCTGACTGTGAATGGGAGCGCATGGCAGGAGTAGATGGGAGGTGTAGATGGGAGCGCATGGGAGGTGTATATGGGAGCGCATGGGAGGTGTAGATGGGAGCGCATGGGAGGTGTAGATGGGAGCGCATGGGAGGTGTAGATGGGAGGGGGAGGGGGGAGGG